CACCACAGCAGCGCCTTGAGATCCTCCCCGAAGCCGAAGGAGAGCAGCAGGTCGGCCTCATCCAGCACCAGCAGCTCCAAGGAGCGCCTGAGCTCCAGGCCGCGGGCGTTGAGCTGCGCCAGCAGCCGCGCCGGGGTTCCCACCACCACGTCCGGCTTCTCCATCAGCACCGGCCTGAAACCCCCCCAAAACCCCCCGAGGTGTCGCCTGCAGCTCCGGCCGCCATCGATGTGCAGGGGGGCAGCAGCAGGACTCACCTCAGCGCCGCCGCGTCGCCGTGAGCGCAGACGTCGACCACACGCAGCTCGCGGGCGCAGAAAGCAGCCATGCAGCGCAGGCTGTGCACCACCTGCAGCCCCAGCTCCTTGGAGGGCACCAGCACCACGGCCCGCACCGCCTGCTCCGCCGCCGCCGCCTGCGCCCCACGCTGCTCTTCAGGGCCCCACGGAGCCCCAAAGAGGCCCCGGCCCCACGGCGCCCATCCGCCTTGGATGCTTCCACCCTCCCCCAACGCCCCGCAGATCCCCTGTGCTGCACAACACCGCCTTCAGCTGCCACCCCACAGCCCCACACACAGCCCCATAACCTACATCCCCCAGCCCCATAACCCACAGCACCACACACAGCCCCCAGCCCCACGCAGAGCCCCCAGCCCCATAACCTACATCCCCCAGCCCCATAACCCACAGCCCCATAACCTACATCCCCCAGCCCCATAAACCACAGCACCACACACAGCCCCCAGCCCCATAACCTCCAACCCCCAGCCCTATAACCCACAACACCACTCAGAGCCCCCAGCCCCATAACTTACAACCCCATAACCCACAGCCCCCAGTCCCATAACTCACAACCCCATAAACCACAGCATCACACACAGCCCCCAGCCCCATAACCTACAGCCCCAGAACCCCCAGCACCACGCAGAGCCCCCAGCCCCATAACCACAACCCCATAACCTCCAGCCCCACTGATAGCCCCCAGCCCCATAACCCTCCTATCTACCCACAGTCCTCCGCCCCGTAACTCCCACCCCGTAACTCATATTCCTATAACTCATATCCCCATAACTTCTATTCCCACCCCCAGCCCCATAACCCACAGCCCCATAACCCCCAGCCCCAGCTCAACCCACAGCCCCATATCTCCTATCCCCATAATTCCCACCCCCATAACCTCTATTCCCACCCACAGCCCCCAGCCCCATAATCCCCATCCCCGCCCAGAGCTCCCAGCCCCATAACCTCCAGCCCCACTCCAACACAGAGCCCCCATGCCCATAACCTCTGTTCCCACCCCCAGCCCCATAACCTCCGTCCCAACCCATAACCCCCACCCCCACAATCCTCACCCTCACAGCCCCCATCCCCACACCTCACAGCTGACCCCAATCTGGCCCAGACACCCCACACTCAACACCCCACAATTCCTGTGTGCCCCACAACACCCATTTTACCCCCACACCCCACTGTGCCCCCCCCCAACAGCACCCCACAGAGCCCCCTGTGTCCTTCAACACCCACCCTCTCCTATCACCCCATTATCCCAACCCACAGCCCCATATCCCCCAGCCCCATAACCCTCCTACCTACCCACAGCCCCAATCCCCACAACCCCCATCCCCACCCACAGCCCTCAGCCCCATAACGCCCATCATCCCCACACCCCCACCCCAACCTATGACCCCCATCCCCATAACCCACAGCCCCCAGCCCCACACCCAGGCCCACTCCCCCCCGGCCCCCCCCCCCCC